ATTTTAAGTCTTCTGTATTTGGTGTAGATAAGATGTTTGTTCCTGGTTTCATATGTACAAAGTATGTTATGGACCACTGATTCGAACAAGCTCATTTAATCTATTATTAGTTTAATTTACAATTTGAAACATCAAACAGGCATTCTGAAACACATTTAATTCTGTTAGTCCAAGAAGACCAAAACGATGAAATAGATGAAAAATTATTATTATAATTTTTGTGTGTGTGTGTTTGACTTATATTCAGGTGCACTCTATAGTCCGGAAATTACGGTAACCATTTTACGCCAAAGATACCCTTAAATTATCTTAGTCGTCCATGTTTTTCTGTGCAAACGTTTTGTCTTCACCTCGTTTTTATCTAAGAAGGGAGAAATCTTAAACTCTGTTGGCTGCAGAACACGCAGCAGTCGTTCAAAACACTCACACTCCAGTTATTCTTGGAGGAATGCCCTTGCTCCACAAATAATCGTCCAGTTTGCAGGATCAGTGACGAATTACTGACGCACGTTTGAGGTTTACAGCTTCGTTTAAAGGCTGCGGCCTCGTGGTAAACTCGCATGCAGTCAGCTTCTCTAATGGTGGGACACCGCGTGGGATTCTCTACAAACTGCCCTGAAGTGACGTATTTCTGTTCGTCACTTAGTGCGGCAGGAACTTTATGTTTTTACAGATGTTCTTTGCTCTCTCTGGCTACGATCTCGTAGATTTTAAATGTGTTTCAATACATTATTTCAGGATTCTTCAGAACAGCACACAGAAGTTCTGACTGAGTGCTTCAGATATAAAGGTTCATAGACACATTTCCATAAATGCGGCTGACATTAGTCACCAAATAACATAAAAAAAGGGAAGGAAAACCTTTGTTTGTACAAAGCAGTGATTCGGTCCAGCCCGTGTGGCAACATGTTCCAGCGCTTCTGACTTTAATGCCAGAAACACTTTTTAAAAAGTGAATGTGCGCTTAGGAATGTGTTTGTGACAACATCCTGCTTTGAGCAACTTCTCTTTGTAAATCTGTAAAGTGATCTAACAGACTTTTCTCATCAGCTACAGGTAATACAAAACCACATTTATTATTAAAAGTGTCACAAAACTATAGGTATCCTTATGTTTTTGCCCTCCTCCCACTTTTCTAATCTCTTTATCTTGCATCGCTTTTCTCAGGCAACCAGCTCCATGGCCTTTAAAAGGAGCTAATAGACACAAGAAAACTACATTTTTCTAGGGTTCGGACTTTTTGTTATTACAGTTTTAGAGGTTTATTAAAAATGACAATCGGAGTTCCTTCTCTGCATGATTGGGGCTCATTTGCAACTTGTTTTTTTTTTTTGCTAGAAAACGAGTTTAACTGGAATCTGCACTTCTTTGATCGTTTGGGATGTTGGGGATGGTAGCATCATTTGTCCTTTGTGGCATGTTTATGTGCAACAATCCAAGTGGGGGACTAAAATAAAGCAAGGCTTTGGAAATGGGTTACTCTTTTAGCTGTGTTTATAAAATAGAATAATCTGTTGAAGTCAAATAATTATTTGCGTTCCATCGTTGGTTCGTTTAGCCTTTCGGGGATTAACAAGGACGGAGGCAACCAAGAGCACGAAGGTCTTAGAGTGTCATGTGACCTTCAGCAGGTTTACAATCAACATATCAAGACTATCTTTATTCTGTCTTGTATTCCCAACTAGCCTGGAACGATTTATATCTCTGAGATGCTGACTGGAGTCATCCACTTGACAATGCTGGCATTGGAACAATTTATCAACATATTAACCTTCATGTCACCAGGCAAGTCTCGTTTAGATCGTGTCTTTCTGCAAGGGAGGCCTGAGCCTGAAGGCTGCCTAACATGCATGGTTTTGAACAGTGGGGACCAGTAGCTTTGTTTACATGGTCATAAGTAATCTGATTAAACGGCCATTCAGAATAAAAATGCGTCATGTAAACGCCTTATTCGGATTATTTTTGTTGATTCAGCTCGATCTAGAAGAATTTGTGATCAGAATGAGACGGGTGGTTTACGCCGATTCCTAATCCGAACGGTGCCCGTGTAAACTCTTAATCTGATCTTTTTTTTTTTCTGATTGTGGAAAACTGACCTGACTGCGCATGTGCGACCTATGTCTACCTCGCGTATTTCCGTCTGGCTAATGCTAATAATATTAGCATGTCAGGGAAGCAAAACTGGTCGTTGAGCGACATCATTTCTACCAGAAACTTTGAAAGAGCTCAAAATGATGTGTATCACCTGTAGCTCAGTCAGGGAGCGCAGGACACCGTCATTAAAACCTGTCGCGGGTCCATTCTGGGCGCTCAGGTTTGTTTACGTTCATCCCGTAAGTAGAACTTCTTCTTCTGTGTTTTTTTTTAAGGAGCGTTTACCACTCTGCGCATGTCAGTACTGCTGTTCAGAACAAAAGCCCGCTGCATGTAAACGCTCGTCGTGAACGGAGTATGCCCATGTAAATGATACATTCGGATTATTTAATCTGAAAACGTTTCGATCCGGTCAAAGAATTTTGCGCATGTAAACATAGCAAGACTCAGAATCAGTTTCCCGTACAGTGTTTATTTACAAGGTGAGATAGAAGCAATAAACCGGGGGAGAGGCTGGAACCCTGAGGAGCAGAGAGAAGGTCTGAGTCTAGGATGTCGAGGGCGATAATGATGTTGCAGTTCGCTCTTTCGTTGGTGGTTGAGGTCAGGCGTGGGGAGAGTAGATCCAAACGGTTCCAGGTGGAAGAGGTGCAGGTGAACGACAAGTGGTAGGAAGACGTGGAGGCAGCTGATGAGACACAGAAGCTCGAGATCCACAGAGGAGATTTCAGGAACAAAGGACACAAAGGTAACTTGCTGAAGGCACAGAAAAAAGCACAGGTCATTAGTGTTTAGCTTGGACCACAAATAGAAGGCTAGAACAGGCCTACCGTTGGCAGGTAATGCTCCAGTACTGGATGAGTGTCTTCTGGGGCCTCTTCCACTCCTCAAGCTCAACAAGACGCAGGATCACACGTGTGGCTAATTAGACTGTGGGAGCAGGAGCTGGCAGAGCAGAACTCCCACTGGGGAAAAACCCACACATACACGGGAAGAACATGCAAAGAAAGACCCCAGGTCCATGCTGGGGATTGAACCTGGGACTTTCTTGCTCTGAGGCAACAGTACTATACCACTAAACTGTCATGCTGCCCAAGTATGTTAACCTCCTGAGACCCAAGCTTTTGTTTGGTGTGCATTGTGTTCGTTCTCCAAGATACATTGGACCTAATAAATTAAATAATTACTCTGTCATGGTACAGGAAGTAGTTTTAGAAAAAAATAAATGTCCTCGTATGAGGACACTGGGTCTCAGGAGTTTAAAGAGGCAAGTAGATGTCTCTAACACGTAACTGTGTATAGAAGAAGGTCAGTGAGTTTAAGATTTGATCGTAATGTTGCATGAATGGGTTTGCAATACATACATTAACATAAAAACTTAAATGGGTTATTTCTTGATGAGTACCAGTATTTATCTATAAACAAACAGAAGTGATGTTGGTTGTTCCATCCATGTTATTAGAGATTATTGTTTATTAACTCGTGGGAGATAGGAAGTTATTACCAACTAAAGGAAACCGTCATTCGCTTCACAAGTGGACTGTTTGCAATTGTATTGTTTTGTTCAGACTAAGCAGGATGTCTTACGAAGGAAGTGCTGCTAATAATTTAAAGTGCCTGGAAAAAAAAAACGTTTGTCATTCAAACTTTTCCATGTTTTGTCACTTTATAATAACAAAACTAAAAATACTTTATTAGGATTTTATGTGACAGACTCGCGCGAAGTAGTGCATGATTGTGAAGTGGAAGGAAAAGGATACAAGGTTTTCACATTTTATTTAGACATTAGAAATGTTTGGCGTGCACTTACACGCATTAAACCCCATTTGTAACCTGATGCTGGCTTAAATTTGGACTGGGCCAAACCCTGGGTAGTTTGAACTCAGCAGGGTCCAGGGTTACGGGTTTGACTGGGTTAAGATATTTTAGAATAAATATATATTTTATACATTTACAACTGATTGACTTTTGGAGTTACCGGTAATATCAATACAACATGGCTACCGCAGCTTATCAGACATGTACCTACACAAAATGGGCTATAACTATGTGAATTTTACAGATATTGAGCCAAAGTTTGGTGAGGTAGTAGCTGATTGTCACTGTGGTGACAGGCGGTGGTGATTTAGGAGTGCTAGGCTTTTAGGTTGGTTATAACATCATGTTCTTTGAGTAAATGGAGATCATATAACTTTCAACAGTGTTGTGTTTTTCCCTCCTTCAATGCATTTAAGCATCACTAAACAAATCACTAAACATCATTTTGATTGACGGGTTAAACAGGAGAACAACGGGCTGTTGTGTCTTTCAGGTAGCCGTCACATCAGGAAGCGACCACAACGTGTAACGGGAGGAGGAGCCGTCATTCTGTTCTCCTCCTCTAGTGCATTGTGTCCTATGGGATATATTCTGGGTGTGAACTGCAGTCGTAAGATTCCCTCCCCAAAACTGAGTGAAACCACGTTGAGGAATGCGCTCGCACAAAGACACACACAGTCACACAATCACTTCCACGCACTCTGAGTCATGTAAATTGCTCCGGTCAGAGCTCCTTCCTGTTTTTCAGTTCCGTCTTCTCTTGTTCCGTGTTTGCATAGGCTTGAGTTGAAGGGAAGTCCAAAAAGAGAGGGAGAAATAACCTACGAGGAGATCTTACTCGTTTAGGGAAGAGGGTTTTTTTGTAGGTGCTCCTCTGTGTGTATCTGCCTGAAGCTATGGGGGCTGTGAGAGGTGTTGAGGGCGAGCAGTGAAGTGCTTTCAAAGAAGACTGACATGTTGTTTTTTCTAAAGCAAACTGCATTGAAGTAAAATCGCTCCAACCAGATAAGCCAGGTTCTTCCTGATGGATTGTAAAGGTCTATCCTGCTCTGATGCCTTAGGGACTGCCGGAGAACCATCGTCACACTCCTAAACTTTCCCACACAGATTTCTGGGGACAGATAAGAGTCTGTCGAAACATGGAAGCACTGCGGCAGTCATTTCTTCATTTAACTTTTCAGATGTCATCCTACAAGAGAGCCACACTGGATGAGGAGGATTTGGTGGACTCCACCAGTGAGGACATGTACCCGTCAACACCCATGCAGGTAAATGCACAAATAAAGATAATAGGGATTTGTCTGGCACCTTTAAGGCATTGCACGTTCATTAAAAAACCCTTTTTTAACAAGTGACAGGCAAATGTTCCTGATCACAGTTTGAATAGGGTCATTAATAGAAAATAGTGAACAACAGCTTTCTTTTGTGGCGCCATCAATTTAACACTTTTGTGGTGTGTAAGATGTGAACTCATTAATTTTTTAATTAATCATAAGACATAGCTTCTTAGAGGACAGTCCTAAGATGACTTTTGTTATAAATTGGTGACTTATTTATTGACTGAACTGACTTTCAATACTGTGAATTGATTAAAAAAACATTAAAAATAAATGCTTTATGAAATGATAGTCTGGTCATACTTGGTAAACTGTTGAGGTAATAAGATTAGTGTCTGTCTTATAGTCTGGGCCGGATTTTAGCAGGGGCTTACCGGGGCTGCAGCCCGGGGCCCCAGCATTTTGGGGGCCCCGAAGGATGTTTTATGTTTTTGTGAATGGATAGTGTCAGAATTTAATCAATGACTATGATGATTTTGACAGCACCGATGAAAAATGTTCCAATTTGTTCTGGCAAACGTCCATCTTGAATGCTTGCTTGTTATTGGTCCACTTTTGACGCATCTTACCCATTGGGGAGGAGCGTCAGGGAATATTATTTTACAATGGCGGACAACAGAAAATATGACAGCGAAGCTGAGCTGCGAAAAAGAAACTGCAGGACATCTTCCCAAATGTGGATATTGCTTTCAGGCTTTACCTGACATTTCCTGTCACAAATGCAAGTGGTGATCGATCGTTCTCCAAGCTTAAAATAGTTAAAAATAGACTCAGATCCACAATGGG